ACATTTTCCCAGTCTCTCCATGAGCTGTGGCAGTGGCAGTGGAGTAGTTTCCGCCTGTTGGGCTGAGGGAGGCATGCTTGTATTGCTTCCTGCTCCATACTCTCCCCGCGTGCCGGGTCTCTGTGTGATGGTTTGGACTACTTGGAGCTTCCCATCCAAACTGCAAGGCTTGGAGCTTCTCCCATCCTACCTTCGCCTCGGCCAGGAATTTCTCCGCCTTGCTGAGGCTCCAGTCCAAATACTCCACAGCACCTTCCTTTTCAACACGCAAAGCTTCAAGCTATACCGGCTGCACTCTTGCATCTGTCATGCTCCACACCACTTTCAAGAGCGGACACGAGTCAGTTTAGCATTCAGTCTGGCACAGTATGAGCAACACTTCTCCAGAAATATCTCCAGCTAAGTCTCTAAAAGCAGCTGTCGTGCCTGGCGCCGTGCTGCCACTCCACGGTCGACCGCGTCCGCGTCCTATGGGGGAAGTTGAGGCAAAATGCTTCAAGCTGGTCCTAAAAAGAATGGAGGTTTAGACATGATAAAATTGTGGAGTCCTCGCATTATACGGCTTCCATGTCCAAAAGTATCCAAAAGTGTTTGCTGGTTGGTCACTCATATTTGCTTGAGAGTGTTGCGAGCTGAGCACACTTTCAAGGCCTGTCGCATTCACTTTTTCCCTGCAATTGACTTGGAGACGTATTGTCTTTAACCGACAACTCTACAGGACCACTCACCCGCATGTGACCAACGGTTTCATGTCCACCATGGGGCGGTGGCGTCGGCCGGCCGCAGCTAATCGCAGTGCTCCGCTATGCCACTCCCCAAGGGTCCCTGATGACAAAGAGTATATAAATAGAACCTTTTGAGTTTACAGCATGACTGTCAAACAAATAATCCATAGTACATCATAGTACACTCAGATTAGACCAAACCATTTAGAGCCCTTGGTCAGCATTGATGATGAGCAGCACTACCATCTCTTGCAGTACAGTGGCGCCACTTTATTATGCCCCTGTGCGCGCCGGCGTCAGTCCATCTTGTCAACGCTTTTCATGATAGCTATGATCTTGCTTGTAGATGTTTCTGAGACCTCCCCCGCCAACAAGAGCTCATCCAAGATTCGGTAGACCTTGTCAAAATGGAAGACCAGGTCGAGCTCACAAACATTGCCGAAATAGCCATCCAGAACTTCCACAAAAAGGTGGATGAGCTCAAGGATGCCCAGCTCATTATCATTCATATCCACGCAGAAAATGAAGAACATCCCTGCGTATCGACGGTAGATGATCTTGTAGCTTCGATACTCCAGAAAGTTTGTGTTTCTTGGGTCACGTGTCACCACAGCCCGGTGGATCTCGGACTCAATCTTGAACTTCTCACTGGCATTGAAAGGCACATACCACTTGGACAAACGGGTCTTGCCCTGCCGGTTCTGTAAAAGGATAAAACGAATCATTCTGCAACCTTCAGGCTTGAGCCATAGTCGGCAGCCACACATGTTCGCAATTGGGCATGCCATCAAACCACTGTTGATGGACTCTCCATTTCATGCATTCATGCATTCCCATCCAAACCAGTAAATGGGAACTCTACGGCCTATGGAACATGATCTTGACACATCTGAATCTTTGAGGCCCGTTCAAGCCAGCCCAACCCAGAAAGCTGTCTGCCTTGACACCTGAAAGCAGCAGTTCGCTCAACTGCTGTAGCAGTCGGCCCTCCAGCATTCTGCTGCGAACAGGCAAGGCGTGAGCCTGGCAGCTGATGTCTGCTGGCTGGTAAGCGACAACTAGGTGGTGAATGTCAAAATGCTTCCTGAAGCCTGAGAGAGTCGCATAAGTGTCCCGCCTCGTCAAAGGCCTTCTGAAGGATATCTGGCACATCTTCGCGCATGAGATTGTCTGGCTTTTGCTCTGCCATTGCCAGGTTCCCCAAGCACAAGGCTGCGGTACCTTTCCTCAGCCGTTCACGTGAGTATCTCAGCTCGGCCACGCATAACTCACATCTGATTCGTACCTAAGTAAATACGGGCGAGGTGTTGTTTTCACCAGTTTTTTTAACTGCTGCTGCAGGAACGATAGGGCATCCGTCGACGTCTTGAGCAACTTGAGGTATTCCTGGACAGCTTCTGTAGTAGATCCAGCAGCTTCAAGCGTTCGTGCCTCTGAGCGGGTCGCTGGGCTCACACTTCACAAAACAAATACAGTATCTTTGTATTGTTTAAACAATCCAACTGCTTGGTCATGGCTGGTCCCACCGAAACTCCAACAAGCAATTTGTGGAGCCTTCGCGATTGAATCCTCCACGTCAGCCATCACGTCTGGGACGGGCGTTTCAAGCAAGCATGCAAAGCATGGTTGTGCTCATGGTGATAATGCTAATGCATGTTAATACCATGTGCATCAGCTGCACTGCTGATCATTGGCTCATCTTTATACATATAAACGTTGCGAACCACATCCTTTACCAATTCCGATTCCATAAATACTACAAACAAACATGGTGTCTCTTCTGAGCCAAATCGCCGCAAAACTAGGACACCCTGATTTCTGAATACGCTTCATATACGCTTCATCATCTAGCATCCCGCGACGCATAGGCATTGTGGTAAGTGAGTCTTGTGTAGAATGGCGCTTCCAAAGTCCAAGGGAAAGCTTAAAGAAGCTGCGTGCAGAATCAGAATGAATCAGACCCATCGCTACTAGTAGCAAGAAACTACTAGGTTGGAGGCCATCGCTACCTACTAGTAGCAAGAAACCCTTTCTTCCTGCTCTTTGCGTGAGGCATCCTATCACTTGGCCGCTGTTTCGGCTTCTTGGACACGGCTCCCGGGCCTATGCAGCGCTCCAACACGAATGTCTAGGGAGTGTGGAGTGCGGTGTCATTGAGATTCACGACCATGCGTCCTAGTCACCACACGGATTGCAGCCCTTAACACACTCCAAGAGATTTGCATAGGTTTCTGTTGAATGGACACTCTGGGGGTTCAACATGACAAGGGAGCGACAGCTGCCAAAATGAAGTGGAGCGTGCTTGATGAACACCAGCATTGCTGGCTGCTGATAACCACGAAGAACACGCTGCCAGTTACTCCTTGCTCGGGCTTCAAAGATTGCAAAAAGGTCATGGGTCATAGATTTTAGAGTAGCTCAAAAGCACCGAAGGACACCGAAGGAGGGATTGGAGGGAAGCAGCGATCTCCGGTTAAAACATGGGCACCAGCGCGGGACTGGCACGGCTACAGGGCAGATTTGCTTTTAGCAAGGCCCGTGCCGGCCGCAGTCCAAGCAAACATGGAGATGTGTTACAGTAGGCTGTGTGGCGTGGAGTGCCAATTTGGGGAGTCCTTGTCCGAAGGATGTTTATTGATCGATTCATTGCAAAGATCTATCTGTTTTATTTCTATCTATCTATCTGCTTTCTATCTATATAATATATATATTTATATACTTGAGAGAGGAGGGGGGTGAACGAAAGGTAGCAGGGAATCAGGCGTAATCCGGGAGGATCACCTCCGCAAACAGGACGAGCTCAAAAACACTGGTATTTACGAGGTTTTGTTGCCGTCGATCCACAGCCGCGGCAAGGTCTAAGGCCACGCTTGAAGACAGGAGGAGCTGAAAACACTGGTATTTACGGTGTTTTGTAGCCGTCGATCCAGAGGCGCACCACGGTTGTGTGCTGGAAAAGCGCAGAAAACCGTGTAAATACCGGCGTTTTCTGCCGGGCAGGTGCACAAAACCCTGTAAATACCATAGTTTTGTGCAATTTTGAAGCCTCCAAAAGCCTCAAAAACCCTTTCCGACAAAATCTTTCCTGGTTTTTGGTATTTTTTCGGTCATGTTTCTAACCGAGACGCATCAAAAACCATCGGTTTTTGCGGTGTTTTTTGCCGGACAGCCACAAAAAACGCTATAAATTACATTATTTTTTGTCACTGTTGAGGACTGGAAGAGCTGAAAACACTGGTATTTACAGTGTTTTCGAACCGTTGACCCCGAGGCGCGCCAGGGTGGAGTTGAAAGTGTGGGGGGGGGGGGGCCCCCGGCCAGCAAATTTCGTTGACCATTTCTCAGTGAGATAGGCTCCAGCTCTGGGTATAATACATTTTTGCTAAAGCAAAAGGAAAACTCAGGTAGCGTAACCGCTACCTTTCGTGATCTATCTACAGTATCTAATTTTATCTACATATATTTGTTTATTTATCTATCTATCGATCTATGTGTGTTGATGTGTGTGTGTTGTATCATGGACAGCTTGCACATGGCTTACATGCCTTTCATCGATCTTACCAAGAGTTCCCTCCGCAGAACTCTCATGATGAAAATCGTACACTATGACAATCAATGCCCTTCTCAATAGCACGGATAAAAGTCTGGAGGCCATCGCTTTAGGTTGGAGGCCATCGCTCTTAGGTCATCGCTCTTAGGTATCTGAAAATCCTAGAGCAGGGCCCTGCATCCTCCAGGTTGGGAAAACATCTCCAACTTTGCCGCTTGCACGCTGTCAATTTGAGAGCGTGGAGAGCATGGGGATTCCCGTCCTTAAAGCATGAAGAAAAGAAACCTGGACCTTCAGATCTTTCGAGAGCTTTTTGACTACATGCGGTGTCAGTGGACGAAGGATGCCTCAAGAAGAATTAAATGAACTGCTTACTGTGGCTCAGGTGTTCTTGAGCTTTGGTCTGCCTCCTTCAAGCGGCCAAACGGAAGCGTAGAGTCTTGTTTGAAAGCTTTCCAGCGGATTTCATGCTTCCTGAGAGGGTGTCCGCACATCATGTACTGTAAATCATATCGCATGACAGTGCTTCTCAAACCATCGCCAGAAATGGCCGACACACAAACTCCACCTGCCAACACCATGCGAAGCCAGCCCCACTCAATTTCACGGTACAGCCACACATCTTCCACATCTTGCAACAAACCAACCAACAAAAACGATCGAAAAATACAGTAATTGAACGTTCCAAAGTCCACAATGCATCACAATGCCTAACCCCCTAACTCTCAGGGCCCTCCCGCCTGGCGCAGCCGCGTCAGCAGCGTATCATTGAGGCCGCCGCCGAAGGGCCGAGGCGCCAGGAAAAGTGCAGCCCGCCGCAAAATGCTCCCTGCCTCGGCCGTCAGCAGGACGTGTTTCAATGTTTATGTTTAGCAGTTTAGCCCGCCTTAGCCGCTAACTAATTAAGTATAATTAAGGTAAGGGTGAGGGCAACTACTGTAGCCGCTACTAGCTACTGGAGGAAGGACAGCTCACGCTATTCATTTGGTTCCTAGACTTTTGGAAAGGCTGGAGCAAAGTGTCAAGGCCAAGATTCCATCACTCGCTTAAAGGCACTCTGCCAAGAGGTGGTAATCTAAATGTTACTGAGACCAAACTCTATATTAAAAGATACTGTATATACTTCATTAAAGTATTTTAAAAAAACAAACAAATTTAATGCTCCCACAATCCCAACCGCGATGCAATTGCACCAGCATCTCCGAGCAGCAGCCTGAGGGCACCCATCGTTCAAAAGTTGTGGGGGGAGGGGCCGCGCGCACAAAATACTATTCGACATCAATGACCAACAATGACTGGTGGCACCGAGGCTGCTGTGGGGAACTTTGATGCAGGCAACAAAAAGGACTCAACGTATGTCCTTCAGCGCAGCCATTTGGGGTATGAAGAAGACATTGGTAGACTGATTGATATTGAAATTTTTTCCTCTTGGAGGCCCTCCGGCACCTTCCTAAGGCCCTCATGCCTGAAAGCGCCAAGCGTGTCCTCTGCTGCACCCGTGAGCAAATTCCGCTCTTGTGCCAGCTCAGCATAGGCGAGAAAAACCTCTGGGGCGCTGGCCAGTAGGGTCTCTCGTGTTGAAAGAATGGATATCGGCTGGACTTGATTGAATCTATATACGGGATTTATGACCTGCAATTGCCATGGCGGCAAAGGACCAAGACATTCATTTATGTACGCACTGAAGGCCAGGCATGCAACCAGAACAAGGCTTTGGAGGGTTGACATTCCATCTGCAGTAGCAGTAACATCTCCCCTCTTCAGTCTTCCTGTTTTTGCCCACATTTGCACACGGACCGCGGCATCTGAATGTTGACAAACTGATCGACACTGCCACAGTTGGAGCAAAGGCACGGCGAAGGGTGCACCTGAGCGGAGGTCAGAACTGGGCCCAAGACGCAAGTAGTAGCGATGCTCTTTGTTACTAGTAGCTTCTTGTTCCTAGTGTCATAGGTATCATAGAACCCCCCCCCTCGAGAACCTCCCCCCCCCTCCCCAAACACATCGCACAAATGTCTCTGAGTAATACCATCTTCACATAGATGTATTAGTGCTTATTAGTAGTGTATTAGTGTAGCCAAAATATCTCCACTAACAAGCCTTGCTCAGGTATTAATTGCAAATTGTAGGTGGATGAACTAAATGATTAACGCTTATTAGGGCTTAGTCTGTTTCCACAACTTGCGGCAATAGACAATGTACAATTACAGCGGTACCCTGGCGGGTTCACGATTCAAAAGGGCACATGTTTGCTTTGGCTTTCGCAGAAGTTGCAAAAGGACCTCATTTTGAAGTCATTTGCTTTTTTCTCCAGGACCTCAATTATTTTGAAGTCAATTGCAAAAGTTGTGACATCACTTTTTGAGACCATCAAGATACGCTTTGAGAACATCGTCTGCAGGTATTTCAAAAATACCATCATCAGGCCTCTTTTTGTTCCAGCGTTCATACGCAAATTTGACCACGGTTCTCAGAGCATCCATCTCTGAGGGGCACCTTCCCGTGGGCCAACTGCGCGCGCAGGCTGAAATGAGCTCATCACCTCAATTGGTTGGAAATACAAAAGTTGGTTGGAATTATTTTCAGACTGAGTCACAGGGGTGTGTCTGATTCTACGATGTGTAGGTGAATATGACAGCTTGGTAGATCAAAAAGCAAAATTAAATCCAAAACCATAAATACCAGTCCAGTCGCAGGGGAAGACAAAGGCAAAGGTCTGCTTTGCCTGATCGTGCTTGCAGCTGAGACCAGTCATCGGGAAGTGGAAAAGACTATTGAACTCCTTTGGAGTCTTCTTCTCCCTGGCTCCTGTATGATCCCCACTGCCAGCAGCACCGGAAGCTGCAGCTGCTGGTGGTGCAGCAGAAGCATCACCAGACTTCTTGCCCTGATTGAACTTCTCAAGCGCTTTGTTCAACTCCTCCTGAGCTTTCGCTTCACATTTCTCTCGCATCTTCTCTGCCTCCACTTCATTGCTCTTCTCCAACAGCCTATCTTTGCACTCTTTGACCAAATCACGAAACTCTTCTGCGTTGTCAGCGTCTAACTGGGAAGCCATGACCTCAAGCGACATCTCCTCATCTAAGCCAGTGTCTGTAGCCGTCTGCTTCCTCGGCTTTGGAGGTAGTGCTATTGCGTTGGTCATGCGGGTTTTGTCAGCCTGACTGGCGTTCGGATACAGGTGTTCCACCAATTGTCTGGCATAGTCACACATGACAATACGACCCTTTGCACCTGAACCATTGCCAGCTTTCAGCGCTGGTAGCTTCAGGCTGGTGACAATGGCTTTCAATTCGGGCAATTTCACTGAAAGCCCAACCCAAACAGCTGATCGAAGAAGGCCGTCCAAGGGCCCTGTCTGCAACAAAGCGCAGCCATGCAATTCAGGGGGCATCTCTGCTCGAAAGGCCACACGGGTGGGAACATGCTGATACAAAGACTCCAAATTGGAAAATTACCTCCAACAGCTTCTTTTCCATAGCAAACTCTGGCTGCATGGGGTCAATCTCAAATGTCTCTCTCTCTGCCACCAATAATTGGTGCCATCATGCAAAGCCGTTTCAACAGAAAATCATCCTCTCTTGAAGCATGCCAAGGAAACTGCAAACGGCCAAGTCTGGCTTGCTCGATCAGCTGCAAACAGCATTTGTCCCGATATGGAGCGGTTGTAGTCTTTCAAGAACTTTGAATAACAGGAGCGCTCACCTCATAGATGACTATGCAACATCTCTTCAGCATTTCATCCTCCAGAAAGTCTAGAACCATTGCAGCTGATCCTTTCCTGCGTAGTACTTGTACAGTTCACGCTTGTTGGTTGGCTCATCGTCAGCTTCCTCCTCCCCGTCTTCAGGACCGTCAGCAGTGTTCGCTGTAGGAATTGGTGCACCAACCACCGCGTCCTCATCATCACTCATGTCCTGCATTGCATGAGGATGCGTTTTGGGCCAAGTTGGGTCAGGTCACACCGGTAACAGGTTGTGTCATTTGACCCTAACTAGCTTACGCTGTGTGCGTGAAATCTATTTATACAAAAGACCCTGTGAGGCCTGACCAGTCCAGAAAGTCAGTAATGCTCGGAGACCTTCTTTTTGGATCGTCCAATCATAGACCAGCTGTTTCAAAGCACGGTGGATCTGGAACCAGCGTTTGTTCTTGACCTCAGTCAGACATTTCAAGTTTGAGGAGAACCACGCGTGGCCGTTGAACCAGAGAGACGACTAACAAGATGACGGGGTGGCCACTAATTATCCTACAGCACACGACCACAGCACACAACTGGAGGACCCGCAAGCAATATCGAGTACCACAAAATTTACGACCATGGTAACATGCTCCTCACCAATTTCAGAGTTTTTTTGTCAATGTTTGGGGAAATTGAAGTGCCACAATTTGATTTTAAACATCCGAGCCACAAATTCGCAGCGTTGGCGAATTGATTTTGCTTCCAGAAAGCCTTCCATGTGCTCTGCCACGCTCCCAGGCTCAAGACGCAACTCACGGTCAAATTCGATGCTTTCTGACAGGGCCTGAAAGAAGGCTTCCGGTTTGGTTTTCAAATACTGGTACAGCGCTTCCTTCTTCCACAGGAGTTTGTCTCCAGACTGGTAGGCTCCATGGTAGAAGTTGCCTGGGTTGACGTTAACACAATACTTAAAACTCCAATCGTTGAAAAGCCCCATAGTTGACTGTGTCCTGAACAACTAAATTTGGGAGAGCGTTTCAAAAACTGTAGCCGTTCCAACACTAGTGACTAGTGAAACGTGGCTGGCATTCTTATTTTCTAGCTAAGTGTCAAGCTATGGTGGCCTTGAGAAAGGACATCTCCAGCCGAATTGCCTTCACTTTGGTTATGCTCCGCCGGAAAATGTTCCACAATGTGTGGCACACGTCGTTGTCCAGCACGCACACAGCATTGAGTATTTCTGCTAAGAAGAGTATAGCCCGGTTCTGCATTTTCTCCTCGTCCAGAACCTAGGCACTGTTTCTGTAACTCTATTACTGACAAAGCGGGGACAAAACCAGTTACCCAAAACAGGTGACTCAAACAAAGCGTTTACAAAACCAGGTGACCCAAACAAGACAGAACAAACAGTGCGCAAGTTAGAGTGGCAGCCATGTGACAAACTTCAAGACTGGAATCTTGCTCAAGGCAGGAGCTGGCACATCAGGGTTTCCCCATTTTCCATCGCTGGGAAATAAGAGTTCCTCCTTTGACGGAATCCAGTGGAGCAAGTCTCTTCGCGTCATAGTCCATATAACATGGTTGATTGCTTTCAGAAGAATCTCAGCTGAAGCGCCAGGAGTTTCTTTGCAAGTCAGTCTGATTGAGACTGTATATACTATAAAA